TGATTCGCTGTGGCGAAGTTCCAAAAACGGCGTTCTGGCACGATTCTGGATCGTGAAGACGCAGCAGTCAGGTTGATACGTGGCGTCGAAATCCCGAGAATAATCTTTTGGCACGCCTCAGGATCTTCATTTCCAGCGAGGCAGTTCCCTCAATGGAAATGAACCGTTGTAGGGGCATGTGAAGAGGGAGCTTGGAGCGAGGGTTAATTCCAACATCTTTGATGACTCTTAGGTTTCCAGGGGGCCCTCCTCCTCCTCCTCCTCCTCCTTCTCCTCCTCCTCCTCCTCCTCCTCCTCCTCCTCCTCCTCCTCCCCCTTGCTCCTCGTCGTCTTCCTCTTCGCTTCCCTGTGTTGTTGTGGACGGTTCTTCCCCCGAGTCTGCGCCCCGTCGCTTTGTGCTGCCACTGACCTCCGTTCTCACACTTGGGTGGCTCGCCCGTGTATCTGATGGCGTCTGGCTCAAGTTTTAGGTCCGGGAGCTCGCCGTCCTCGCACGCGTTGGTTCCCACAGTGTAGCGAATGACGTCTGGTTCTAGTGTCTGGTCCCAGAAACCGCTGAGCTGCGTCAGTGCCTGCGGCCACTGCACTGCCTTTTGACACACGCTAGCACTGGTCCCAACGTTGTAGCTGACGACGTCGGCTCCCAGCTTGTTTCCCCTGGCGCGTCTCTGTCGCGCATACGCCGTAGCTGACGACGTCGTTCCTCAGCTTGTTAACCCCCAGCGCGTCCCTGTCCTGCATTCTTCAGCGCCTTAGCGCCTAGCAGCCTTCGCGCAGCGTGTCCACTGCAGTTTTGAGAGCTCCCGGCAACAACGGGCCCTCGAGAGCGGAGGAAGGAGGGAGGCCGGTCTCTTGTGCTTCCCAACGATTAGGCCCGCGTACCGCGTACTGCCGTAGGTCGGTTGGAGCTAATTTAGCTCCTGACGGCCATGCCACTACCAAGAAAGGTCCACGCGCGCAAGCCGCTGGTGCGAAATCGAGAGGAGGAGGAGGAGGAGGAGGAGGAGGAGGAGGAGGAGGAGGACCAGTGTAAACCCAAGCCGCATCAACGATGTTGCAATCAACTCTCCCTCCAGGTTACCTCGTCATAAGATCACTACAAGAATTTATTTTCAGTGCGGGAAATGCCCCATTGGAAGACAACCGTTTGAGAATCCTCAGTCGTGTCACAGCACCATTATTCAACGTGATTGTTGCTCCCTGACAACCCTGAATCGTGCCACTACGCCGTTCCTGGGATTTCAACCAAACGAACCCTTGCAATTGCTACAAACTTCAGGACGAATGTGCGCAGCGCTAATGCGAGCGAGAGTCATTTTTCCAGACCGTTGTTGCCACAAGGACCCGCCCTTCAACCTGGAAGCTGCTGCAGGCTGTGAAGACGAATGTGCGCCGGGCTAAGGCGAGAGCCACATTTTGAAAGCGGGCCGCTCGAACTGCTGCAAGTTTGAAAAAAACGAATGTGCGAGGCGCCAAAGCGAGAGCCACACTTTGAGAACGGCGCGTCCTGTCCATGTGAAGCTGCTGCAGGAGTTCAAGACGAGTGTGCGCGGCGCTCAGGCGAAAGCCACGTTTTGAGGGCGGCCCGCCCTCCATCCTTGAAGCTGTGGCCAATGTTCATAAGACGAATGTGCGCGGCGCTAAGGCGAGTGCAACATTTTGAAGAGGGCCCGCTCTCCATCCGTGAAGCTATTGCGATGTTCGAGCTTCAGGGTCAGGAAAGGTGGGGAAGTCGTAGGCGAGACCCCCCCCCCACGCCCTACCAACACGTCTGGGAATGCGACAGGGAGGGGCTGCTTAGAAGAGAAAGGACGAGACGGAGGGAGGGAAGGAAAAGGAGGGGGAGGGGGGGGAGGATGAGCAGGAGGAGGAGAAGGAGAAGGGGGAACAGGCTCTGGAGGAGGAGAGGGAGGGCAAGAAGGAGGAAGAGGAGGGGGAGGAGGAGGTGGAGGAAGAGAATGAGGAGGAGGAGGTGGAGGAGGAGGAGGGAGTTGCGGAGCTCACTTCTCCTACTGCCGCTCCCGCTGCTGCAGCTGCCGCGGCTGCCGCCGCTCCTGTGCCCTCTGCCCCCTTTCTCGTCCTGCCCCCCCTTTCTCCTGCCTCTCGCCCTCGTCATCCTCGCTTTCGTCCTCCTCCCCCCCACCTGCCCGTCCTCCTGCCCGTCGTCGCCTTGTCCGTCCTTGTCCTCCTCCCCCCCCATCGTCGTCGTCGTCGCCACCGCCGCCCTCCTCGTCCTCGTCCGTCTCGTCGTCGGCGTCCTCCTCATCAGCATCGTCCTCGTCCTCGTTGTCCTCATCCTTGTCGCCCTCGTCCTCGTTGTCCTCGTTGTCCTCGTCGTGGTCCTCGTTGCCCTTGTCCTCGCTGTTTTCGTCGTCGTTGTCCTCGTCGTCTTCGTCTTCGTCTTCTGGGCCTCGGGGCGGAGGCGGAGAACATGGCGGCGCTCGTGGTGAAGATCATCAACCAGCCGCCGAGGAAGGTGCCCGCGGAGGCCTGCGGCGAGGCGCCCACCCTGCAAGAGGGGCGATGGGAGGGAGGGGAGGGAGGGAGGGAGGGAGGGAGGGAGAAGGAGGAGGTGGAGGAGGAGGGGGAGGAGGAGGAGAAAGAGGACGAGGACGCGGAGGGAGCTGGCTAGACCTCTTAATGGCCCATGAACGGATGAACGAGGAGGGAGGAGGGAGGAGGGAGGAGAGGCGGATGCGTCGAGTGCTCTTGACGGTCTTTGGCGTTTTTGAAAAGGGGGGAGGAGGAGGAGGAGGAGGAGGAGGATGAGGAGGAGGAGGAGGAGGAGGAGGAGGAGGAGGAGGAGGAGGAGGAGAGGAGGAGGAGGAGGAGGAGGAGAAGGGGGAGAAGGGGGAGCAGGAGGGGGAGGAGGAGTTGGAGGAGGAGGAGGAGGAGGAAGAGGAGGAGGAGGAGGAGGAGGAGGAGGAGGAGGAAGAGGACGCATCAGCGTTGTTGCAATAAACCCTCCCTCCAAGTTACATTGCCATAGAACACTACAACACTTCATGCTTCATGGCGGGAAGTGGCCCACAAGAAGACAACCGTCTGAGAGTTCTCAACCGTTCCAAAAACATTCCTCCGATTTCAGCGGCACGGATCAACGTGACTGTTGTGTTTTGGCAACCTTGAGTCGTGCCTGAACACCGTTTCTGGGAGCTCAACTCCGCGAATCAACGTGCCCGTTACGTCCTGACAGTCCTAGATCGCACCAGAACGCAATTCTTGGGACTTCGACCGCACGGGCCTTTGAAACTGTCGCAAACTTTGACGAGGGATGCACGCGGCATTGAGGCGAGAGCAACATTTTGGAATGTGACCGCCCTCCGTCCTTGAAATTGCCGCAAGCTTTCAAGACGACTGTGCAGGGCGCCCAGGTGAGAGCCACACGCAGACGTGGAGAGGAACTGCTGCAGACTTTGAGACGAGTGTGCGCGGCGCTGCGGCGAGAGCCACATCTTGAGAGCGGCCGCCTCGGGAACGCCCAGGAGCGCTTGGGGGCGCTGGCAAGCTTTTGGCGCTTGCGACAGAATGGGATTGAGGTTCGACTGCTTTTAGAAGCGTCGGTCGCCAGAAAAAAAATCGGGTGTGAGTAAGGCTAGATTCGCCGCTAGTTTTTGTTCCTGGGAGTTTGGACTAAATGACGCGACGTTTTTTGTCGCTGCCGCCATTTTGGAGGCAATGCCAGTGGCTGGTTGTCTTCGGCTCTCCCACCGCCAATTTGTTCCCCGACTCGGAGTCTTTTGAATGAGCTTCCAGGCTGATAACAAGAGGAGGGGGAGGAGAAGGAGGAGGAGGAGGAGGAGGAGGAGGAGGAGGAGGAAGAGGGAGTTGTTCTTGCTGCTCGATATCCTCCCTCCTGCGCTGCTCGTTCGCATCGAGCTTCCTCTTCCTCCTCATCATCATCATCCCCCGCAGTTCAAGAGTGGCGAGAAATGGGGAAGAGGAGCAGGGAGGATGACGAGGAGGGCTAGGAAAGAGGAGGGTGGCTCGAAGTGCGGTCGGAGTTTGGTGGTGCCGACGCAGCCGCAGCAGGACTGCTGACCTTGCTGCCACTGCTTCTCTTTGTTTGTTGATCTGTCGTTCCCTCCTCCTATCCGCCCCCTCCTCCAGTGGGCCGAGTAGCCTGAAGGAGCTGGACGGTAGCGCCGCAGGATCACAGGATCACACGAGGGAGGAGGAGTGATAGAGAGAGGAGGATGAAGAGAGGAGGAGGAGGACGAGGAGGAGGAGGACCAGAGTAAATCAAGGATGCGCCAACCATGATGCAGTACACCCTCCCGCCCCCAGTCCCCTCCGCTCACGCGTGCGCACCCGTTGGGTGACAAGCGCCTGGTTGACCTGCAACTCGGGCGAGACCCTGTATTGTAAAAGACCCGCCCTGCGTCCCTCCACCCAAAAGCTAGCATAATCGCAGAGGGGTTCCATGAGAAAGCTCAAAGACCGTTGTATGTGTAGGAAGTGTTTAACACAAATGTGCAAGATGATCGAGCACAAATCCATTCAGGAGGTCGAGCTTCCCATTCTGGAGGCGGAAGCTGGAAAAATACCACCACCATGGAGGTCGGGCCTTCAATTGGGAGGTGTTCGATCTTCAGGCGGGAAGGAGGGTACAGAGGAGGAGCAAGGAGGAGGAGGAGGAGGAGGAGGAGGAGGAGGAGGAGGAGGAGCAAGGAGGAGCAAGGAGGAGGAGGAGGAGGAGGAGGAGGAGGGGGAGGAGGAGAAGGAGGAAGGAGGAGGAGGAGGAGGAGGAGGAGGAAGAGGAGCTAGGAGTAAGAGGAGGAGAAGGAGGAGGAGGAGGAGGAGGAGGAGGAGGAGGAGGAGGAGGAGGAGCAAAGTCCGTAGCCATTTTGGCTCAAGTCCAGAGTGTTTTGGCACAGGACCTGGCCTTTTGGCAAAACGACGTTCCCGCCAGGGTTTCCCCTGGCCTCGGCTCGCAGATGGCGCATGGTTTCTCTCGCGATCCTTGGGTTCGCAAGCCGTCTGGTGAGTCTCGACAATGATACGCGGACCAGGGAGGGTCTGGTGCCAGCAAGGCCTCATGCCCCACCTGTGGCTGCAAGAAGAAAAAGAAGCACGACAGGTTTTGTAAGCACTGCCTCCAGCCCTTGGCGTTTGCGGAGCCGCCCGGTCCACCTGCAGCCTCTGGTGCCTGGGCCAGCCTACCGCCCCTTGGCTCTTTCCCAGCGCTCGGTGAGGGCGGCACGGGCGGAGGCAAGCACACTGGCCATCCCAAGGGCGGCAAGGTGGGCAATTGCAAAGGCCTCGGAGGTGGCGAGTCGGCTAGCCAGCATCCTGTGCCCAAGCTTCAAGGCCAGCAGACGATGGGCCCGCCCCTGGGAAGCCGACGGGGCGGGCCCGAGGGCCAGCCACGCATGCCAGGTCTCCAGCTTGGCTACTCAGGCTAGCTCCAGCGCTCGGCGGCGGGCTCATGGGCCAGCTACTCCAAAGACGACATCCCAGCGCTGCAGGAAATTGCGGCCAACTTTAGTCGGTTCGGAGGCAGCTACCACGCCGACATCTACGACTGTTACGTCCGCCAGCAGCTGCAGACCGCCATGCCGAAGCCCTTGTCTGTCGGCGCGGCGCAGCACGCCATGCGGGAGGCGAAGAAGGTCTTGGACAAGAATATCCGCGCAACCGAGCAGCTCAGGGAGCAGCTGCACCAGGCGGGGCAGGCGGCCATCGGCGCACTGGCCGACTTCGAGGAGTGCCAGGGCAACTACCACAAGGCGGTTCGCATGCTGGCCGAGCATGTACCGCCTGCGGGCATGGCGGCTGAGGCTGCTGCCGACAAGCCCGGTCCCGGCCTCAGCCTCAAGCGCCTGCTGGACGACCAGTCCTCCTTCGAGATCTTCGCGGACGACGACCTCTTCGGCCTGGAGGCTGAGGGCGCGGAGTTGTCGGAGCTGGAGCGAGAGGAGGTGGCCCGCCGCAGAGCGGAGGTTGAGGAGACCATCGAGCGCGCCGTGCTGGAGTCCTCCGGCGTAGTCAAGCAGCGCGCACGGCGCGCACATGATTTGGTTGACGAGCAGCGTGCTTTCCGCGCGCGCATGCAGGCCAAGAAGCGGAAGGTCGGCGACAGCGAGGAGACGCGTTGCGAGTCGGCGGGCGGTGCGCCAGCGATTCCAGCCGCGCCTGCAGCACCAGCAGCCCGCCCCGCTGCTGCGGCATCTGCTCCTGCCGCTGGCGGGGCTCGAGCACCCCAGCCCGCCCCCTCCTGCTGCTGCCGCGGCGCAGGCCAATGACTTGGCAGCTGCGTCGCAGGCGGAGCGGAAGCCAGTCGAACCAGAAGACCCTGCAGAACACCGAAGGAGGTTCGACATGGCAACACAGGCAGCGCGTTCAGCGGTGGATCCGTCGCAGCCCCAGCGAGCTCTTTCGCATCAAGATGTGGCAGCTGGTTCCCTTGACAGGGCATTCGGCTGCCCCGTCCTGGTCGTCGGACTCACCGGCCATGAGACCGCTGAGACCCCCTTCCGGAAGAAACCCTGGGTAGGCCAGCGCCCACTGGGCGCTGGGACCGCCTAGTGGGAACCCCAGGGTGGGAATCGGTGCGAGCATGGCGGGAAGAGAGCGCCGCGCGTTGCGGGCACGGTTTGCCCCCCGATACTTGCACCACCAGTGGGTCGAGCACTTTCGCTTCAGGGGCTTCGCGACTAGCAGCGATAGCTTCATCATTCCCTTGCCCACATCATTTGCCACGTGCGGATTCGATATATACCTTGGTCAAGACACCTTAATGTCGCCGGCGCCCTTCGTTGAGCGCAGTATCCCGTCATCCAGTCCAGTCGCCGTCGGCGGGGGCGGCGCAACCATCGGTAAATGCCGCTACCAGTGATCCCGTTGCTCCAGACCAACCGCCGCCCACGGGGGCGGCCTGTCCTTCGTCAACCTGTTGCAGTGCTTTGGCAACCGCTTCCTCCACGTCAGCGCCCGCAGCTCCCGCGGCCAAGGTTGGTCACCGCCCGCTTCGCGAGGCCGGGAGCGCCCCTGAGCAGACTGCCCGTTCGCGCGCCGCGCCCGTGCTGCCCGTCCTCCCCTCTTCGTCGCAGCCCAAGCGGATGGTCTTCGACGCTGCCAACTCATCGTCTCGGGGATCCCTCAAAACTTACCTGATGGACGAGGCCCTGGGCTCGATCGCTCTCACCCGGGATTTTTGCTTTGGGGGCCGCCGAGCGAGGGGGTCAACCAAATCAAGAACATTGGTTGGAGGGCCATCGCCAACCCCAGCGTAGCCACGTCGGGAGGAGGATGGAGTAGCGGCACTGGCATCGCAGTCCGCCCACCCACCCCGGTCGGTTCCCTCCCGCCGGTGCGCCCCTTCACACAGCCAGAAAGAGTTTGCTCTGAGTGGGTCAACGCGCTCGTTCCAGGCGGATTGGCAGCTTTCTCGTTATATTTTGATTGCGACGACCAGCCCGGACTCGATTCGTTCAAGATTTTGAATCGCATTGGGTGGTGGATCCATCAGCTCCAGATCCAATTCATCATTGGAGAAGA